AACAGGTCATTTTGCTCATAGTGCAAATAATAATAATAAATATAAAATATCCTGAAAGGTTAAGGTCATCCCAAGCGTAACACAGGGTCAATTCCGCTATCAAAAAAAGGAAAATCTAAGTTAGTATGTAAAAGTCTGAGACGGCAAGGACATTTTTTGCATCGATTCTTTTTTGTCTCATAATTTTTCAATCACAAAATAATGGTAGTCAATGCGTAAAAGCAAAATTAATAGCAGTAACAAATAACCTTTCTTCCTCTGAATCACGTATGAGGCCTTTAGCCCAAACAGCAGAATCCAAGTCGAATGGATACAAAGAATAGACGAAGTCAAGATATTTTACTGCTTTTGATCCGGATATTTTCCTGTCTGAATATTTTGTAAAATGCTGAGATACATTGTTTTTGATCTCTTTGAGGAGACTTCCCAATATGATCAATTTTGGAACATTTTTTTGGTTAGATAAGAAATTTCTTTCCTAAGAGGAAGTCTCTGGGTCAGTAGACCAAACGCTATCCTGGGTACAATCATGACTAAAAGAAAAAATGATAGAAAAAGCTGGAAAGGATAAAAATATGCAATTATGCAAATGTGTGTTACCTTTTATTAAGAACATGATTGTAGACAATAAAACTATTTAATAATTTATTGCTTGAAGAAGAGTTAGAAGACGCGATGAAGGATAAAGATGAAGAGAGAGACGAGAGACATTTTTATTCTTCTGTGCACTCAAAAAACGTTCAAATTCGTCGCTCTCCGTAGACGAATTCATTTCTGTGTAAAGTTGTCCTAATGAATGGAATAAGTCCGTGTTTAGAGTAAAAGCAACATCAATTGATAATATTGGAAAAATCGAAAAGTTGGTAGCGTCAGATGGTATTGGCCGATCAACATTCGAGGTTTGAGAGACAGATCAACGATGATTTAGGACCGCATGAAGATTTTCAAAATGCTGAGAAGCGGGATCCATGCTTATGAAAAAGGAATCATTCGTAATAACATTATTTTGGAATTTGACTATAAGTGGAACAAACATCTGCCAACGAGTATAACACAGGCTTATCTTGCCTAGTCCTTCGGTGGAAGGTCAACTAAGGAATGACAATGAAACAAGACATGCTTACGAAATAAATGATAGATGCAGCTGTTTTTGTCTTAAAGAGAGATATGGCGAGGTGCATCCTCAGAGAACGAATAACAGCTGTATGAACTGGTTTCCTGTAAAATATATAGATAAACAAAATACCAATTAAGCTATAATCATCTTTGTAAATAAACTATTTATTTATTTTATGTTTATAATGCAAAAGCGATTATGTTTACTTGATTCTAATTGCTTCGAAGCGGCATTTTGATAGGTTGCTGCATGATTCCGCCTTGTCTTCATCTCCCATTGTCTCTTCGTCATATTATAGTTGATATAGCGTATAAAAGTTTTTCACTATCAAAATATTTACAATTTATTTTTTGTTCTTTTGCCACGGTGACATTTAATAAAGATAACAACGAAAAAATCTTGTTACCATATAGGAGCAAAATCCAAGAGCAGGTAATTTTATTTGCAACTGAGGGCATCCAGGGTGACATTGTTAGTAACCTAAAGGCGGATAAAGCGCATAAAAATATGCTTAAGATGGCTTGATGGAATTGAAAGCAAGAAAAAAAATTACTTGAAGATATGGTTTGCCATTTTAACATCATATTTTCAAGAGCAATAGTTAAACTCCAAAAGCTTTCATTTAAATCTGGCTAAATTAGAAAATTTACTTGAGCAAAAATTCTTTTATTACCAAGCATTTTCTATTTACAGGGGTAAAATATTTATTTCGTATGCTCATAAACTTCAGGCGTAAACGGCCTTTATGACTTTGGTCCTATAGGCTGCTCAATCAAAGCAAACCTATTATCTGCGTGGCGTTAGTTTTTCATCCTTAAGTAACATCTACTTTAGGTCGATTGCTCAATTTTAACACCCAAACCAATTTTGCAGGCCTCCGGAGACGTATACCGGTTTACGGATTTCATGGTCAAAGATATCTCATCTGGCAAGTGTTTTTGTGCTGATTATCTAATAACGGCAGGAGCTCTTAATCTTTTTTGTATGGTAGATCTTAATATATGAGTTTACTTCTCTTTCTTGGAGTTAATAGAGCTATAGTGACTGTGGTATGGTAGATCTTAATTGCTGAACTTACTTCCATTTCTTGGAGTAATAAGAGCTCTTAGACAATGTATTATGGTAGATATTAAATGTAAACTTAATTTTATTTCTTGGAGTAATTAGAACTCTAAATCACTGTGGTATGGTAGATCTTAATTGTTGAACTTACTTCAATTTCTTTTAATTAATAGAGCTCTTAAGCTCGTTTGTATGGTAGATCTTAATTTATGAGCTTACTTCTATTTCTTGGAGTTGAAAGAGCTCTTAGTATCTGTTGTATGATAGATCTTAATTGTTGAACTCACTTCCATTTCTTGTAGTTAATAGAGCTCTTAGACAATTTAGTGTGGTAGATGTTAATTGTTGAACATTCTTCCATTTTTTGGAGTTAGTTAAGATCCTAGTCACTGTGGAATGGTAGATCTTAAGTATTAAACTTGCTTGCATTTCTTAAAGTTAATAGAGCTCTTAGTGAATGTGGTATGATAGATCTTAATTGTGGAACTTTCTTTCATTTCTTGGAGTGACTAGAGCTCTTAGACAATGTAGTATACTAGATGTTAATTGTTGAACATACTTTCATATTTTGGAGTTAGTTAGGATCATAGCCACTGTGATATGGCACATCTTAATTGTTGAACTTACTTCTATTTCTCAAAGTTAATATAGCTTTTAGTCACTGTTGTATGGTAGATCTTAAATGTTGAACTTACTATCATTTCATGCAGTGATCAGAGCTCTTAGACCATGTAGTATAGTAGGTATTAATTTATGAACTTACTTCCATTTTTGGAGTAACTTAGGATCCTAGTCACTGTGGTATATTAGATCTTAAATGTTGAACTTACTTACAGTTCTTAAAGTTAATAGTGCTATTAGTGACTGTGGTTTAGTAGATCTTAATTGTTGAACTGACTTCCGTTGCTTGGAGTTAATAGAGCTCATTCACAATGTAGTAAAGTAGATTTTAATTGTGGAACATACTTCCATTTATTAAAGTGACTATAGCTCTAGTCACTGTGGTATGGTCCATCTTAAGTGTTAAACATACTTCAATTTTTGAAGTTAATAGATCTTTCAGTGACTATGGTATGGTAGATCTTAATTGTTCAACTCAATTTTATTTCTTGAAGTTATTAGATCTTTTAGTCACTGTTGTAAGGTAGATCTTAATTGTTGACATTACTTACATTTCTTGGAGTGACGAGAGCTCTTAGACACTGTAGTATAGTAGATGTTAATTGTTGAACTTACTTCTATATTTTGCATTTAGTTAGGATCCTAGTCACTGTGGTATGATATATCTTAATTGTTGAACTTACTTTGATTTCATGCAGTAAATAGAGCTCTTAGACCATGTAGTATAGTAGATTTTAATTGTGAAACTTACTTCCATTTTCTAGAGTAAGTTAGTATTTTAGTCACTGTGGTATGGTAGATCTTAATTGTTGAACTTAATTACATTTTTTCAAGTTAATAGAGCTCTTAGTGACTGTGGTATGGTAGAACTTGATTGTATAACTTACTTAGATTTCTTGGATTGACTAGATCTCTTAGACAATTTAGTAAATTAGATGTTTATTGTTGAACTTACTTCCATATTTTGGAGTTAGTTAGGATCCTAGTCACTGTAGTAGGCTAGAGCCTAAGCGTTGAACTTACTTCCATTTCTTGAAGATAATAGATCTTTTAGTCACTATTGTATGGTAGATCTTAATTGTTGTCATTACTTCCATTTCTTGGAGTGAGAGAGCTCTTATACGATATAGTATATTAGATGTTAATTGTTGAACTTAGTTCCATATTTTGCATTTAGTTAGGATCCTAGTCACTGTGGTATGGCAGATCTTAAGTATTGAACTTACTTTTATTTCATGCAGTGACTAGAACTATTAGACCATGAAGTATTATAGATGTTAATTGTGGAACTGACTTCCATATTTTGGAGTTAGTTAGGATCCTAGTCACTGGGGTATGGTAGATCTTATGTGTTGAACTTACTTTTATTTTAATTTTTGAAACTATTTCCATTTCGGTCATTTAGTAGAGCTTTTAATCACTGTTGTGTGGTAGATCTTAAACGTTGAACTTTCTTCTATTTTTTGGAGTGAGTAGAGCTGTTAGACAATGTAGTATTCTAGATGTTAATTTTCAAACTTGCATTCATTTTTTGATGTTAGTAGAGTTCTCAGTCAATGTGGTATGGTAGATCTTAAATGTCCAACTTACTTACATTTGTTGAAGATAATAGAGCTTTTAGTCACTGTTGTATGGTAGATCTTAATTGTTGAACATACTTCTATTTCTGGAAGTGACTAATGCTATTATACAATGTAGTATGCCAGATGTTAATTGTTGACCTTTTTTCCATTTTTTAAAATTAGTAGAGATCCTAGTCACTGTAGTATGGTAGAACTTAATTGTTGAACTTACTACCATTTCTTGGAGTGACTAGCACTCTTAGACATTGTAGTATGGTAGATGTTAATTGTTGAGCATACTTCCATTTGTTGAAATTAATAGAGCTCATCTTATCCTATCTTATCTTTTCTCATCTCATCTCATCTCATCTCATCTCATCTCATCTCATCTCATCTTTTCTCAACTTATCTCATCTCGTTTCATCTCATCTTATCTCAACTCATCTCAACTCATCTCAACTCATCTCATCTCATCTCATCTCATCTCATCTCTTCTAAACTCATTTCCTCTTATCTCATTTTATCTCATCTCATCTCTTCTCATCTCATCTCATCTCATCTCATCTCATCTCATCTCATC